CAAATAAATAAATAAATGCCACCTAAAGATTCTGCTTCCCTGGAATTACTAGTTTACTATGTTTCTAGTAAACTGACATTATTTGTTTTATTCCTTAAAATATGATAATATTTCTGCATTTTTTTCCAGTAATTGACACTTGAACACAATATCAAATGTTTGAATTATTTATTTATTTATTAATTTATTGTATTAATTTATTATATATATATATATATATATATATATATATATATATATATATATATATATATATATATATATATATATATATATATATATATATATATATATATATATATATATATATATATATATATATATATATATATATATATATATATATATATATATATATATATATATATATATATATATATATATATATATATATATATATATATATATATATATATATATATATATCTATCTATCTCTCTCTCTCTCTCTCTCTCTCTCTCTATATATCTATATACATATATATATATATATATATATATATACATATACACATATACATACATATATATACCTATATATATATATATCTCTATATATATCTCGATATATAAATATAGACATACACACATCCATATCTCTCTATATATATATATATATATGCATGTATATACATACCCATCTATATGCATACATATATATCTATCTATCATCTATCTATATATATGATATCTATCACTCTCTATATATACAGATATATATATATATATATATATATATATATATATATATATATATATATATATATATATATATATATATATATATATATATATATATATATATATATATATATATATATATATATATATATATATATATATATATATATATATATATATATATATATATATATATATATATATATATATATATATATATATATATATATTCTGTTATTTTCTTATTTATTTATCTATTTATTTGTTTATTTTATTTATTTAATGACCAATATAACAATTCTTAACTCTTCTAAAGTTAAAACATTATTGTGCTGTCTGAAAGTTAAACATATGTGGGGAAAAAAAAAATAATAATATAATACTTTTTTTATATTTGTTAAATGTTATTATTACTAATTATCATTTTGAGCTGTAAATGACAAAATTTGAATTGCACATTTAGAAGAAGCTGGATCAGTAGTTTGCAGATCAAAAGACAAATGTTATATTTTACTCAACCACATAGCTATACATTGCAAATCCTAGAACTTTTGATTGGTCTTGTGTAGCGGCAAAAATAAATATTGAACACATCCCCATTTTTTTCTCAGAAAACATATTTGTAAATGTGCTGGATATTGTAGTCCATTTAAAGGCGGATTTGTCATTCTATATGATACTGTGTGTTTACCAGCGATCTGCACAGGCTGGATTGCTGGTGATTGTGACAAAAGGTCTCTGCAGATTTTGTGTGAGCCTAATCATTGACAACTTCCTTACAAACCCCTTTTTCCCCCGAAATGTTTTTATTCACTCTGCTTTCATAATTTTTATTTACTCTAAAGAAATAAGTACATATTATTACAAAGATATGAAAACAAAGCAGAATATACAGTCCTGCTGTAGGATAAAGTACAGTATCTTTCTGTTGGTGAACCAGAGGAACAGAGGATTTTGTTCAACACCAGCCTATCAGATTAGAGCTGGGCAGTTTAGTGTGCAGTGTGTGTGTGCATCAGATGGTCAGTGAACGGACTGTGGGCGGCCAGTGGAGCCGCAGGCTGAAACTAGGGAAGAGGTAACAAAACACAAAATCTCTCTTCTCGTTTTCTTGTACTTTCCTTAACTCCCTCTTGCACATGCACACACACATTCAGACAGATGGAGGATAATACATTTAGTTCTTCCAGATAGTTGCTATTCTGCCTTAGGTTCTCTACAGGCTTCGGATTTTGGACTGGGATATGGAGGAGTAATTTTGGGTAGTGTCTGAACAATCTATGGCTTAAAATGGATTATGCAATGGATTTGTGTGCCATCTGAAGAGTAAATAGTTGGTGAGTGGCATGATGCGTGCAGCATATTAGGAACTTACTGATGCTTGAGTTTTTAGTGCAAAACTTATTTCACGGTCAAGATGATGAAAACATGACAGCAAACTAAATATATATATATATATATATATATATATATATATATATAAACCTGAGCAAAACTAAAAAGAAAAGAAAATATAATAAAACTAAATGGACTTTAATACATTTTCTACAAATTATTAACTCATGATTGCTCAAAAATAGTAAATATTTATCAAACATTTGTTTTTTTAAACTAATTAAATAACATCACAGTTAATACAAACAATCGTTCTATAATTGTTTGTAAATAAGTGTCTTATGTGTACCGATGAAAATCAAATAAAGCAAAAATGCTGAATATATTTTACAAACATTTATGAGACTAATGTTACTTCAAATATTGTAAAGTTGTTGCTTTTATTCACCAAAATAACCTGAGCACAAATTAATTAATTAATTAATTATTAGTTAATTAATTATTCATTTTTGTTACGCACAATATCAATTATATCTGTTCTATTTCTGTAAATGGTGGTGGATGAGGAGATTATGCCCAAAAATGTGTGAAGCACTTTGAGTGTCAAGAAAAGTGCTATATAAATCTAAGGAATTATTATTATTAAGGATTTATTATACAACCTTGTGATACCTAGAACTAAATTTTAAAAAAATCATAAATTTGTTTTAGACTGTTGATAACGAGAAAATGAGCTTGCTTATGTG